AATAGGATGCATGTTTTGGAATATTTTTTATTCAGTACAGGCTTCCTTATTTTCTCTGTCATTTAGGTTAGTATTGTGGAGTAACTACAATGTTGTTGATCCATCCTCAGTTTTCTCCTATCACAGCCATTAAACTCTGTAACTGTTTTAAAGTCACCATTGGCCTCATGGTGAAATCCCTGAGTGGTTTCCTTCCTCTACGGCAACTGAGTTAGGAAGGATGCCTGTACTTTTGTAGTGACTGGGTCTATTGCTACATCACCCAAAGAGTAATTAATAACTTCACCATGCTCAAATGGTTATTCAATGTCTGCTTTTTTTTTAACCCATCTATCAATAGGTGCCCTTCTTTGTGAGGCATTGGAAAACCTCCCTGGTCTTTGTGGTTGAATCTGTTTGAAATTCACTGCTCGACTGAGGGACCTTACAGATAATTGCACGTCTGGGGTACAGAGATGAAGTAGTCATTAAAAAATCATGTTAAACACTATTATTGCAGTCCATGCAACTTATGTGACTTGTTAAGCACATTTTCACTCCTGAACTTATTTAGGCTTGCTATAACAAAGGGTTTGAAAACTTATTGACAAGACATTTCAGCTTTTCATTTTTTATATTATTGTAAAAATTCCTAAAAACAATTCCACGTTCACATTATGGGGTATTGTGTGTAGTCCAGTGACACAAAATCTCAATGTAATGAATTTTAAATTCAGGCTGTAACACAACAGAATGTGGAAAAAGTCAAGGGGTGTGAATACTTTCTGAAGGCACTGTATTTCACTGTGGTGCTGAGGGACCAGTCACAACATGTTCCGTTCAAGGCTACAGGGATCAAATGTTCAGACTACTGTATCAGATCAGGGCCTCTCAATTACACACAAAGAATGGCCTTCCCACACACCTCTGCCATTAGGGGCAGGGTAATACATTTAAAATGGCGTCCTTTTTTCCATCTCTTTTACTTAATCTGCAGACTGCACTGATGTGAAAATTATCTGGACAGGTTTAATAACTGGACAGGTGATCTTCGAATCCTTGGTTAACATCCACCATGTTGTTCTTGTTTCATTTTCTAATCCAAGATCAGTCAAATGAAGGATGGGCTCACTACTGGTGTCCCTCAGGACTCTGTACAAAGTCCTCACTGATTATAAATGGCTCTGGATAATCGCGGCTGTTAAATTTCTAAAGTCTGAATGAAATGTAATGATGCTTGAGTCATAGCAGTCAACAGCATTGGAATAACCCTTAACACTTATACAATACAGATACAGCCGACAGAGTTTAAATTAAAAGGCCTTTATTTTGTGAAAACTTGTTCTCCACACAGCAGTGTTTAACATGAATTGTGAAGGACTACCTCATCTCTGTACCCCACACATACAATTATCTGTAAGGTCCCTCAGTCGAACAGTGAATTTCAAACGGATTCAAACACAAAGACCAGGGAGGTTTTTCAATGCCTCGCAAAGAAGGGCACCTATTGGTAGATGGGTAAAAAAAAAAGTTACTAATTACACTTTGGATGGTATATCAATACACCCAGTCACTACAAAGATACAGGAGTCCTTCCTAACTCAGTTCCTGGAGAGGAAGGAAACCTGGTTCAGTCTGCTTTCCACCAGACGCTGGGAGATGAATTCACCTTTCAGCAGGACAATAACCTACAACACAAGGCCAAATCTACACTGGAGTTGCTTACCAAGAAGACAGTGAATGTTCCTGAGTGGCCGAATTACAGTTTTGACTTAAATCTACTTGAAAATCTATGGCAAGACCTGAAAATGGTTGTCTAGAAATGATCAACAACCAATTTGACAGAGCTTGAAGAATTTTGAAAAAAATAATGAACAGATGTTGCACAATCTAGTCACTTGGGGTCTTGGGGTCACTTAGAAATGTCTTTGTTTTTGAAAGAAAAGCAAGAAGAACTGTTTGAAAGTTAGACTGGCTTTATCCCACTGCTGTGTCATTGACAGCTGAATACACTTAAATATCTAATATAGTTCCATTCACATCTGGTTTAATAGCTATAAATGGCTTGGCCTTAATATACAGTTGAAGTCGGAAGTTCACATACACTCAGGTTGGAGAATTAAAACTAGTTTTTCAACCACTACACAAATTTCTTGTTAACAAACTATAGTTTTGGCAAGTCGGTTAGGACATCTACTTTGTGCATGACACAAGTAATTTTTCCAACAATTGTTTACAGACAGATTATTTCACTTATAATTCACTGTATCACAATTCCAGTGGGTCAGAAGTTTAAATAGACTAAAGTTGACTGTGCCTTTAAACAGCTTTCCAGAAAATGATGTCATGGCTTTAGAAGCTTCTGATAGGCTAATTGACATCATTTGAGTCAATTGGAGGTGTACCTGTGGATGTATTTCAAGGCCTACCTTCAAACCCAGTGCCTCTTTGCTTGACATCATGGGAAAATCAAAAGAAATCAGCCAAGTCCTCAGAAAGTATATTGTAGACCTCCACAAGTCTGGTTCATCCATGGGAGCAATTTCCAAACGCCTGAAGGTACCACGTTCATCTGTACAAACAATAGTACGCAAGTATAAACACCATGGACCACGCAGCCGTCATACCGTTCAGGAAGGAGATGCGTTCTGTCTCCTAGAGGTATACGTACTTTGGTGCGAAAAGTGCAAATCAATCCCAGAACAACAGCAAAGGACCTTGTGAAGATGCTGGAGGAAACAGGTACAAAAGTATCTATATCCACAGTAAAACGAGTCCGATATCGACATAACCTGAAAGGCCGCTCAGCAAGGAAGAAGCAACTGCTCCAAAACCGCCATAAAAAAGCCAGACTACGGTTTGCAACTGCACATGGGGACAAAGATCGTACTTTTTGGAGAAATGTCCTCTAGTCTGATGAAACAAAAATAGAACTGTTTGGCCATAATGACCATCGTTATGTTTGGAGGAAAAAGGAGGAAGCTTGCAAGCCGAAGAACACCATCCCAACCGTGAAGCACGGGGGTGGCAGCATCATGCTGTGGGGGTGCTTTGCTGCAGGAGGGACTGGTGCACTTCACAAAATAGATGGCATCATGAGGAAGAAAAATTATGTGGATATATTGAAGCAACATCTCAAGACATCAGTCAGGAAGTTAAAGCTTGGTCGCAAATGGATCTTCCAAATGGACAATGACCCCAAGCATACTTCCAAAGTTGTGGCAAAATGGCTTAAGGACAACAAAGTCAAGGTATTGGAGTGGCCATCAAAAAGCCCTGACCTCAATTCTATAGAAAATTTGTGGGCAGAACTGAAAAAGCGTGTGCGAGCAAGGAGGCCTACAAACCTGACTCAGTTACACCAGCTCTGTCAGGAGGAATGGGCCAAAATGTACCCAACTTATTGTGGGAAGCTTGTGGGAGGCTACCCAAAACGTTTGACCCAAGTTAAACAATTTAAAGGCAATGCTACTAAATACTAATTGAGTTCTGACCCACTGGGAATGTGATGAAATAAATAAAAGCTGAAATAAATCACTCTCTCTACTATTATTCTGACATTTCACATTCTTAAAATAAAGTGGTGATCCTAACTGACCTAAGACAGGGAAATTTTACTAGGATTAAATGTCAGGAATTGTGAAAAACTGAGTTTAAATGTATTTGGCTAAGGTGTATGTAAAGTTATACAAATTGATTTATAAGTAGACAAACAAATTGACTTACAAGTAGACTAAATCATTTGTTGTTGGGTGAATTCAACTAATTACATAGTTAAACAGACAGAATCATTAGATGCCCGTGTTGACCGAATCATTTGCTTACATTTTTCTGGCTCTGTAAACTCACTAATTAATTTCACACATGCATAAATGTTAGTAATATATGTGGACATACAGTATTACCACTATCAGCACAAAAATACGGCTGACTGGTAGCCCATAAATGTCCCCTTTTACCGCTTATAAAAAGGATCCTTCACTTCAAAGTCATTATTATTAGATATTCACACACAGTATGATAAAATATTTCATTGCACCTTTTTATTGACATAAAGCTTTTTTTATGTTATAGCTTTAACTGAGTAAATGCTTCCACATATCTAGCTGTACAGTGTTCCACTGGGATAACATTGGCCTATCTCCAAAACCAATGCTGTACAGATCATCTTTTCCAATTATATAATTGTCAATGCTCAGGACAGAAGCAGTATATGGATGTGGCAGTGTCTCCTAACTAGAGATCAGGATCCATTTAAAATGCTGATTAAGGTCATAAATTAAGTGCAAGTTAAGAAAGAGGACAACTAATAGTATTTGTGGATGAGGTCTCTCCACTTTGATAGAGAAGTTTGGACTTGAGACATGCAAGACAGCTGCTCCTCACAATCATCTGAGAAGACATTATAAATCATACCCATACTTGGTTCACAGATGGGGGTTTGTCATGTGCTCCCCACAGCTTGTGTTCAGACACACACACACACACCTGAATGACAATTATTTGTGCTATGTATCACTTCACAAAGCCCGTCAGTTGTGATTTATGGTGCTTTAAGGTCTTTATACGTCTACTGTTTGGACTCAACCATTTTCCATGTGCCAGTTCAATCCACTTGCATAGGAAAGGTCCTGCTCAACTACCAAACCAAACGGCTTTTGGGGAACTTTGTGTTTGAACATTTCAGAGCACGAGCAGGATACAAAAGACAGATTTCCAATACACCGCTCAATTGAACATTTTCTCTCTTTGATTCGAAATGCCACCGTTTCAGTCCACCAACCTTTATCCGAGCATGATCTGCCCAAAAGGTTGGCATTCCCCAACAACAACAAAACGCGAAACTTTCCAAGCAAGCAGTGTACAGGACCCCTCCTCGTGTCATGCTGCATCCCTCGACACAACAGCACTTCTTGACTTCTAGGGGACCAAAAACGTTTGGCCAAAATGCCTCCTTCAAGGCTTGAGCTTGAGGAATGTTCGACTTGAGCTAGAACGTTCAACCAAAAAGTCTGGCTTCTTCAAGGTTTGAGCTTGAGCCAGGGGTGGACGATGGTGAGGATGGAGAGGACCGAGGAGGCCAGGCCACAGGCCCCTACGAAGCCATGGCCGGTGGGGTAGATGCCCAGCCGGTCTAGCGGGATGAACACGTCGCACGCATTCTTCAGCAGGTCCAGCAGCAGCGGTGGGTTGTTGCGCAGCACCGTCACCAGCAGGTGGAACTGTCTGCGGAGGCGTACGGACAGAAGGGGTAATATGGCTCCGGGGAGTGAAGAGGGGTCAGAGAGGTCGCCGTTCTCAGGGGTGAGCGGAGTGGGTGGTGGAGAGAGAGGAGAAGAGGTCCAGGTAGCCTTTGACCCCCCATGGGAGGAGCAGGCCTCACACTCCATAAGCAGGCGGATCTCGTAGGCATCCCTGGTTAGGGTGAGGATGAGGGCAAAGAGGTAGTACCTGTAGAGAAAGAGAGAGAAATGTGTGAGAGATTAAGAGTGTGAGGCAGAGAGACAGAAATGTGTAAGAACGTGTGAGACAGAGAGAGATTCATGTAAAATATGAGAGAAAGTAAAGAGTGTGAGACCGGAAGAGTAGGAGACATTGAACAAAATAAAAAGTGGCAAAGAGGGGGAGTTAAGAGGTAGAATTAGATAACGAAAGAGATAGAAAATAGCTCTAGGGAGAGAATGTAGTTAACAACTGCCAATTGTAGTAAAGTTCATTACAGGATTTCCGATGACCTTGGCCAACTCAAATACACTGATTCCTAATGCGGTGTATTTTAGGGCTTAAGGTTCCAAATTATAACAGTCACCTGAAGGATCTCTGGCTCCACTTGTCCTGGTCCAGTTGGGGCAGGAGGCCCACCTTGCCGGCCCACAGCACGTTGTCACAGGCAAAGTACATGGCCTTGTTGAGGTGGGCCACGGTCAGGCAGAGACGTAGCACGCTGTCCGAGAGGTGCACCGCACGTTTTGCTGCCTCCACAGCCTCTGCAGAGTTCCCCAGACGCATCACTGGAGAAAGAGAGAGGAGAGAGTGATGTGAGACCCAGAGACACTGAATTGAGGCACAGAGAAATACCAATGGATGTACAGAGAGTAAGCCTGAGTCACAATCTTGAGACACAGAGATGTAACATTGACTTACACTTCCTTGTTAGGCTCATATGAGCTTCCAGTTGTTTCACTGTCTTCAGGAGCTCAACACCTGCCCCACCCTTCTGGAGTGTGTAACCTAGCAATGTACAGGTGTACTGTGCAGCCCTGTGTAAACACAGAAAATGAATAATATGTGTCCAAATCTGAATATAGCTATGTTACTACAGTTCAGTAAATGTTTGCATCTTGCGATGAATAACTTGGGCACAACTTCGTCCAGAGTGTGTTTTCATGTCAAGGGCAACTGGTACTTACTTTCATGTACTGTAGCTAACTATCAGTAGAATACCAAATGCAGTTGGGACTATGGCCACTTGATAGAGAAAGGCTGAAAATAGCAATTTTTATGGTTTAATTTATCCAGATTTGGGAAAGCCCGAGACAAAACACTGCACGAGCCTCATTATGCATGAGGCCCCCCCCTGAACCCCTTCAATTCGAACCGAAAATCAGCTGTCCCGCAGTACCCAATAAACGGGGAGGTAGGCAGTGACGGGCAGGAACAACCGCAGACAAAAACCTACCAAAGTCGAGAACTGAACGGCACAAAAGGTCACCTACATTGCTGGACTTTTTATAAAGTTATTTATTGTTATTTGTACTTTTTCGTCCTCTTATACATTCATATTTTGTATGCTCATGGTTTTCTGTTTGTATAAGTGTAATAAATGTAACTTGAAACCTGCAAGCTGATTCTTGTTATGTTTGTTACTTGTATAATAACAAACCGGGGCGTAGGTTTAACTACTTTTAATAAACAGATATTTAAGCTAGCAATCTCCTTGTGTAGCCATGCAAGTCATACTTCAATTCCCCCACCCTCGCATAGCCTGCTGGGTAACGTAGTCTTAATGTTAACACATAACACAATTCTGACTTGTTGACATGATGGTATATTACTATCTGTCTTGAGAAATCTCAACTCTCATACGACATTTTGGCTACTGCACCTGATAACTCGCTCCTTGGCTTGGCTCTGCGCACTAAATCGAATCCAAGAGTCCATGCTCGCGACAGGTACCACTTGCTTTCCTTTGCCACCGTGGATTGATTAGGCCTGTGTCCGTGTTAGCTAGCAATCTATCTACAACGTTATATACCGTCTCCTGGCAATAGCTGTCCAATGCTATCTGCACAGTTCAATACGTCACAATGTGCCCCAAACAGCTTTTTTTGTTTGTAGTTATTTTAAAAAACACTTGCGCTAGAGAGTTTGCTTCACAACACAAACAACTTCACAGCTCCTTTACCCATGGACGGAATCTGAGGAGGGACAACAAAGCGAAAGTCCAATCACACAGTAATCATTAGCTACATTACTGGTAGGAGGTTCGTGCACAGCACAGTACATGGATTGTATTGTAGATGGCATTAGTCGTTTCAGTGGAGCACGCTACTGAATAATAAGGGATAACATACATGAAAATTAACAATTGTAGTTATTCAAAAACAATAGTCAAGGCAACTCATTGCTGTGGATTATATTTACTGCGAAACCTCATACTGCCACAGGGGGGCGACTCACACACACAATAAGAGGCCAGACAACACACACACACACACACTTTAAGCCAACCAACATTTGGAAAAAATGGCAGTCCGTTTTATTTTAGAGTGTTATTATAAAATAAATTAAGGAAAACAATCATGATCAAGAGGAATAAAACAAACAAAAAACATATATACTCCATATATGTGGCACTACCAGATCCACGGAGTGCTGAAATAATAAGTGCACAACCGGTGCACTACAGGTCAGGGGCAAATGAAGGAGTGTGAATCACTCTGGAGAGGTATTGTACTTGGCATTGTCTCTATTTACTGAAACACTATATGAAGACAATAAAACCCTGTTGTAGGCAGAGCAAAATTAAAATGCCAGCTTCGCCCATCAAATTCCATTCTATAAAGAAGAAAATCCAGTGATTTATGTAATTTGGATGGAATCAACATATTGCCCATGCCAACTATTAGCCCGTTCAGGTCAAGTAGAGATCAGTGGACCATATAAGGCAATGCTGCACAGTAATGTCTTGTCAACATCAACACCACCTGGTGTATTAAATATCCTCTACAACTCAGTTCACAACTGTCAAAGTATACCCACTCCCACTGAAACATGGCACCAACCCTGAGTATAGGCTGGTCAGCTTACAAACACTAAGCAATAACCGAGGAAGGCTTTTCAATCGAAATGGAGAGGAACCTAAATGCACAGTGAATGCTATCAGAATGTCTTGTTTTCATCATCTTCTATATTACAATCTATTAATTATTTTCATCCTTCTCTTTCCTATTCATTGGCTGGCAAGATACTCCACATCCATTGGGACCCTCATCTTCAAACTCACATCTCATACTCCTTATTTCCTAACCAACCGCCTTTAAATCACACTTCAAGTTCACGCCTCAATACCTATGCCACTTTACCTACTGTATGACCTTCTCAATATTCTGCTCCTTTTGGGCCATAGCCTAGTCTTTGCTCCCTTTCCTTTCCCTCCCCATAATCCCTCCCTCTCTTCAAGCCCCCATCCCTCCCTCTCTTCAAGCCCCCATCCCCTTCTCTCCCTCCCTGTGAGGTACAAAGTTTCACCTAAACGTCTCCTCACTGGCTCTCCATCAAATAAATGTTGTAACTTCAGGCAAACTCCACAGTGTCTCCGCATTTAAAATATACAACACTACAGTCAATTGGTTTCATTGGATACTAAAATGCTAACGTCTGCTGTCGTTAAAAGCCAGACCCAATTTTCACCACAATGAGCATACGGTACATCAGCACAGTTCCTGCCTTCTCTAATGCGTGCAGAAGACTAATATCTTCAGTAATGATTGTTAGTTTAATTGCTCATTGCGAACACTCATAATCTAACTCGGATAAGAGTCATTGGTCTCCTCGTGGGAATTGGAACTAGGAATTGGGGCTGTAAGGGTACCACTGGAGGACTGTAGTATCCCACAATGACCCTCTCTCAGTGCTCAGAGTGCTGTTTCTTGTGGAAGGTGGAGCGCATGCGGCTCCAGAATGACTGGCTCCTCCTGGTCTTCTTCTCGCTGCCGCGGACCGACTCGGCCTCGCGCTGGCGAATCTGGCGGACCAGGGCGGCGAACACCTCGTCTATGTAGTAGCGGAATGCCGCTGAGGTCTCGAAGAAGGGGCACTGGAACTCCCGGGCCAGTTCCTTCCCCTCCTCTACTGACACCTAGTGGAGTGGAGGGAAATACCATGTTGAAAGCCAATATACAGATAAAACTTACAGACAGGAGATAATTTGTATATACCAGTGGAGGCTGGTGGGAGGAGCTATAGGAGGATGGGCTCATTGTAATGTCTGGAATGGAATAAATGGAACGTTATTAAACATATGTAAACCACGTTTGACTCCGTTCCATTAATTCCATTCCAGCCATTACAATGAGCCCATGCTCCTATAGCTCCTCCCACCATCCTCCTCTGGTATATACAGTATACGGTATCAAACAGAGTCATGATGTACAGTTCCTTCAGAAAGTATTCAGACCTGGTGACTTTTTCCACATTTTGTTGTATTACAGCCTGAATTTAAATTGGATTCAATTGAGATTTTTTTTGTCACTGGCCTACACACAATACACCATACTGTCAAAGTGGAACTATGTTTTTCAAATGTTTACAAATTAATAAAAAATGACAACCCCTTTTATGGCAAGCCTAAATAAGTTCAGGAGTAAAAATTCTAATAAAAAGTCACATAATAAGTTGCATGGACTCACTCCGTGTGCAATAATCGTATTTAACATGATTTTTGAATGACTACCTCATCTCTGTACCCCACACATACAATTGTCTGTAAGGTCCCTCAGCCGAGCAGTGAATTTCAAACACAGATTCAATCACAAAGACCAGGGAGAATGTCCAATACCTCGCAAAGAAGGGCACCTATTGGTAGATGAGTAAAAAAAAGCAGACGTTGAATATCCCTTTGAGCATGGTGAAGTTATTAATTACACTTTAGATGGTGTATCAATACACCCAGTCACTACAAAGACAGGCTTCCTTCCTAACTCAGTTGCCGGAGAGGAAGGAAACCTCTCTGGGATTTCACCATGAGGCCAATGGTGACTTTAAAACAGTTAAAGAGTTTAATGGCTGTGATAGGAGAAAACTGAAGATGGATCAACAACATTGTAGTTACTCCACAATACTAACCTAATTTACAGAGTGAAAAGAAGGAAGCCTGTACAGAATACAAATATTCAAAAAAACGCATCCTGTTTGCAACAAGGCACTAAAGTAATACTGCAAAAAAATATGGCAAAGCAATTCACTTTTTGTCCTGAATACAAATTGTTATGTTTGCGGCAAATCCAATACAACACATTACTGAGTATCACTCTCCATATTTTCAAGCATAGTGGTGGATGCATCATGTTATGGGTATGCTTGTAATCGTTAAGGACTGGGGAGTTTTTCAAGAAAAGAAATAAATGGAATGGAGCTATGCACAGACAAAATCCTGGAGTAAAACCTGGTTCAGGCTGCTTTCCACCAGACACTGGAGGATTAATTCACATTTTAAAAGAATAACTGGCAAATGTTGCACAATCCAGGTGTGGAAAGCTCTTAGAGACTTACACAGAAAGACTCACAGTTGTAATTGCTGCCAAAGGTGCTTCTACAAAGTATTGACTCAGGAATGTGAATACTTATGTAAATGAGATACTGTATTTCTAAAAACATGTTTTCACTTTGTCATTATGCGGTATTGTGTGGAGATGGGTGAGAGAGAAAAATGTATTTAATCAATGTTTAATTCAGGCAGTAACACAGCAAAATGTGGAATAAATCAAAGGGTATGAATACTTTCTGAAGGCACTGTACATGTTACGGTAAATGTGTGAATCTATAGATTGCCCATCTCCTTGGTAAATCTACAGATTCCCTGTCTCCTTGGTAAATCTACAGATTCCCTGTCTCCTTAGTAAATCTGCAGATTTACCGGGTAATCTATAGATATACCATACCAGTCAGACAGGCAATCTGTAGAACTCCCAGTAAATGTGTAAAGACAGGCCTTTTGAACAGCGGTAGGATTTTAATGCTGTAGTGCCAAGACTACCAATGGGCGTCCCTTTCCTCCTTCCTTCTTTCCCTTAATTCTCACCTGTCGGAGATGAGTCAGGTCAGATTTGTTGCCCACCAGTACCACGGGAGTGTTGGCGGTGCGGCGCACACGGTCAATGAGCTGCTTGAACTGGCGCGCCTCCTGTAAGCTCCTCCTATCTGTGATGGAGTAGGAGATGATGAAGCCCTCGCCCGCCCGCATGTACTGGTCCCGCATGGCTGTGAACTCCGCCTGGAAAGGGGCATTTGTGTATGTATGCGTGTGAGGGAGAGCGCGAGAGAGAGCGAGAGAGAGGGGGGGTAGGCAAAAGTAGAGTGAGAGTGATTAAGGACTGATACAGAAAAGATAACAGCAAAAATATTTAGATAACATTATACAGTGAGCACCATAAATCATTGGACAGTGACCATTTTTTTGTTATTTTGGTTCTGTACTCTAGCACTTTGAGTTTGAAAGGATACAATGACAATGAGGGTGAAGTGCAGACTGTCAGCTTTAATTTGAGGGTATTTTCATACATATCGGATGAATCGTTTAGAAATGACAGCACATTTTGTACATGGTCCCCCCATTTTAACGTACTACAAGTTTTTGTTAAATTGGCTTCACAGATGTGTGTCATTAGGCAGGTGTATTCATTTTTGTTGTTAGTGAATGCAAGAGAGCTGTTGATGAATAGTATTGATTCTAGACTTTGCTATTGCCTTTGGAGGTTGTTGTTGGGGTGTGACAAGACAGCAGTGTCGATGCAAATGAAGCTGGCCGTCATAAGGCTCAGAAACGAAAATCAATCAATCAGGAACATTGCAAAAACCCTGGCCATGCCCAAGTCAACAGTTTGGTTAATCATTAACAAGAAAAAAACAACCGGTGAACTCAATTATGTCAAAAGACCCGGTAGACCGAGGAAGACCACTGTAGTGGATGACCGGAGAATACTCTCTATGGTGAAGAAAACCCCCCTGACAACAGCCCAACAGATCAAAAACACTCTCCTGGATGCAGGTGTAGATGTGTCAAAGTCTACCATACGTAGAAGACTATACCAGCAGGACTACAGAGGCTACACTACAAGATGCAAACCACTGATAAACCTGAAGAACAGAAAGGCGAGATTACAGTTTGCTAAAAAGCACCTAAAAGAGCCCCAATAGCTCTGGAAAAAAGTATTGTGGACAGATTAACATGTACCAGAGTGATGGCAAGAGGAAAGTGTGGAGAAAAAAAAGAAATGCCTATGATCCAAAGCATACCACCTCATCCGTGAAACATGGTGGAGGGGGTGTTATGGCTTGGGCCTGTATGGCTGCCAGTGGAACAGGCTCACTTGTCTTCATCGATGATGTGACTGCAGACAGAAGTAGAACAAAGAATTCTGAAGTCTACAGAAATATTTTATCTGCTCAGATAAAACCAAATGCCTCCAAACTCATTGGACGGCACTTCATCATGCAACAAGACAATGACCCTAAACATACTGCTAGAGCAACAAAGGGGTTTTTGATGGCCAAAAAGTGGAAAATCCTTGACTGGCCGAGTCAATCACCGGATCTGAATCCAATTGAACATGCATTTTACATAATGAAGAGGAGACTGAAGGCAATAAGTCCCCAAAACAAGCAGGAACTGAAGATGGCTGCAGTACAGGCCTGGCAGAGCATCACAAAGGAAGATACCCAGCGTCTGGTGATGTCGATGCATCGCAGACTTCAAGCAGTCATTGCATGCAAAGGATATGCGACCAAATATTAACAATGATTACTTTATTCTACATTATGTTAAACTGTCCAATGTTTTTTGATGCCCGAAAATGGGGGGGACCATGTACAAAAGCTTATATAATTTCTAAACGGTTCATCCGATATGTATGAAAATACCCTCAAATTAAAGCTGACAGTCTGCACTTCACCCTCACTGTCATTGTATCCTTTCAAACTCAAAGTGCTATAGTACAGAACCAAAATAACAAAACATTGGTCACTGTCCAATTAATTATGGTGCTCACTGTATATCCAGGTGCCACACACCCACATGGGGACCTAAAATTAATTTTCATTCAAAATCCTATTTTCCTAACCACTAACCCTACTTGTAACCCTAAACCTAACCCCTAAGCTGAAAATAGCCTTTATCCTCATGGGGATGTGGGAAATGTCCCCACGAGGGAAAATGTCCCTTGATTTTGGGGGATTTTAGGTCCCCACAGGGATAGAACAAACAACCCCCCCCCCCCCCCACACACACACACACACACTGAGAGCATCAAGAGAATCAATCACCAATACATTGGTCTGTCTGTCTGTCCTACAAGCTACTAGAGGAAGAACATGGAGACCCACTGAAAAAAATATTCAAATTTGGATGACTCAGAAGTTAAGGGTCACTTGAGACAGTGGACTGTCTAGGTCACTCAGAGCAATGCTCTGTGTGTGGACACTTCCCTGACTTTGGTACGGTACAAACAAACCCAGTCACATATTATAGAACATGTACATGACCATATATAGAAAATGACTCATATCATAAGTGAACCATACATGTGTCTATGGATGAGTCAGACAGACAGGGAAAGACGCTGTGTGGGGAGCGGGTGAGAGACAGAAATGATGTACACTACCGTTCAAAAGTTTGGGGTCACTTAGAAATGTCCTTGTTTTCGAAAGAAAAGCAATTTTTTTGTCCATTAAAATAACATTAAATTGATCAGAAATACGGTGTAGACATTGTTAATGTTGTAAAATGCTATTGTAGCTGGAAACGGCTGATTTTTTATGGAATATCTACATAGGCGTACAGAGGCCCATTATCAGCAACCATCAGTCCTGTGTTCCAATGGCACGTTGTGTTTGCCAATCCAAGTTTATCATTATTGATGTTATTTTAATGGACATAAAAATTGCTTTTCTTTCGAAAACAAGGACATTTCTAAGTGACCCCAAACTTTTGAACGGTAGTGTACGTTTGTGGAAACATAAAGTGAGTAGATGGAGTGAGCGATGCTTAAAAGGAAGTTGAGAAGAATAAGGATGCAGATGTTATGACGATGAAGGGGAGAGATGACAGAGTGAAATATGTTCCTCTGGGTTTGCTTTGGCAATGTAAGATAATTACTTATCAATGATAAGTTATCATGCTAATAAGACTGATTGAATGGAATTGAGAGACAGGAACAGACAGTCGGAAAGGATTGACTTAAAGGAAAGTGAGCATTGGGATAGAGGGAGAGGCTTTGAACTGATGTGAAAGAACTAGACAGATGAAAGCAAATTCCCAGTCCTTCTCAGGTGTTCTCTCATATTGCTTTCACCTATCCTATGTTTACAGATCATTAGATGAAGGAGAGGAGGCAAATAAGCCATATTAGACTATTGAGAATGAGATGCAGCCAAAAGAGATGAAGATGTGACATTTCGATGGAAGCCCTTTGTGAGGAAGTGTACCTGTCCTGCTGTGTCCAGGATGTCCAGGTTGGCTGGTTCATCGTCAATGCGTATCTGTGTCTTGTATGCATCCTCTGGGAGAGACATTGAGTGGTATTTTAATGGCTATACAGGATGATTGTGTAGTTACATGTCATAGGCAGTGGTTCATCGACTCTGGTCGATGCTATGCAGCACGCGTGTGTGCTTTACCAAGTCACGACAGGTGTTCTGTTGTTTTGGATTTGCGGTTCCTTGTACGAGTTCTGAGATAAGTATTGTTCTTGGAACTGTAGTGGCAGTGTGTCAGTGTGCATAGCCAAGTTGCAGCAGGTTCTGGTTCCCTATTTGGGGCTCTGACAGTTCATGCTTCTCAGGTAAGTATCAGAGAAAAAGGTGGCTTCTGGAAGCCCATTTTGAAGCCGGTGGAACCTGTGTGTGCTTGGGCTGCCGTGGGCCTCCTAGTTTGGTACCCTCTGAGCCGGCTTGGGGCGTGATTGTTCCCATAGTACGTTATGCAGAGTGACCGACTGAAAGGGAACATACAGTTATGAATATAATTATTGTTCCCTGAAGGAGGGAACGAGGTATAACATATTTTGGCCCCACGCCGTCAGGGGATTTGGGCTCACTGAAAAGCGGTACTGAATTGAAGAAATGGATGCGAGCCCCAATATTATAGCCAGGAAGACGTTCCCTCCTTCAGTACGTTTTGTTGATGGTGGTGGAAAACGCTGTCTCAGGCACTGCTCCAGAATCTCCCATACGTGTTCAATTGGGTTGAGATCTGGTGACTGAGATGGCCATGGCATATGGTTTACATCGTTTTATTGCTCATCAAACCATTCAGTGACCACTTGTGCCCTGTGGATGGGGGCATTGTCATCCTATGGGGGCATTGCCATGGTAGCCAAAATAATGGTCTGCCCAGCATTTTTATACACGACCCTAAGCATGATGGGATGCTAATTGCTTAATTAACACAGGAACCACACCTGTGCGGAAGCACCTGCTTTCAATATACTTTGTATCCCTCATTTACTAAAGTGTTCCCATTATTTTGGCAGTTACCTGTATACACATCTATCTATACACTCACCGGCCAGTTTATTAGGTACACCCATCTAGTACCAGGTCGGACCCCCCTTTGCCTCCAGAACAGCCCGAATTCTTCGGGGCATGGATTTTACAAGTCTGAAAAATTCCACAGGGATGTTGGTCTATGCTGACGCGATGGCATCACGCAGTTACTGCAGATTGGACGGCGGTACACCACCGCCACCAGCCTGTACCGTTGACACCAGGCAGGATGGGTCCATGGATTCATGCAGCTTACGCCAAATCCTGACTATGCCGTCAGGAACTGGGACGCAACAGGAACTGGGATTTGTCGGACCAGGTGATGTTTTTCCACTCCTCAATTGTTCAGTGTTGGTGACAATTGGAGCCGCCTATTCTTATTTTTAGCTGATAGGAGTGGAACCCGGTGTGGTCGTCTGCTACAACAGCCCAGCCCATCCGTGACAAGGATCAACGAGTTGTGCGCTCCAAGATGCCGTTCTGCACACTACTGTTGTACTGGGCCGTTATTTGTCTGTTTGTGGCCCGCCTGTTAGCTTGCACGATTCTTGACATTCTCCTTCAGCCTCTCTCATCAACGAGCTGTTTTCGCCCACAGGACTGCCGCTAACTGGATATTTTTTGTTTGTCGCACCATTCTCGGCAAACACTAGACACTGTCGTGTGTGAAAAGCCCAGGAGGGCGGCAGTTTCTGAGACACTGGATCCGGAGTGCCTGGCCCCGACGATCATACCACGCCCAAAGTTGCTTAGGTCACTAGTTTTGCCCATTCTAACATTCAATCGAACAGTAACTGAATGCCTTGATGCCTGTCTGCCTGCTTTATATAGCAAGCCACTGCCTGGTGACTCACTGTCTGTAGGAGTGATCCATTTTCGTGAATGGGGTGGTGTACCTAATAAACTGTATATATAAAATTAATGATTGATTCCAAATACAACATGATCACTCATTTGATGTAGCCGTTTTTGGTGTGGTTAAAGGAGGCCAAATTTGACCAAATATGAGTCGCTGTATTTTGATCAGACACCAAGCACTCTCTCACCTATGGTGGGGTCATGGTCTTCAGGGAACCTGTGGCTGATAAACTGCATTATAATAGCTGAGGAGAAAGAGAGAGAGTTTTAAGTTTTCACAAGCTTTTTTGGGGCAATTACGTTGTCAAAAAGCTGCATAGGCACTGCATCAATAAACCAAAGAGGGGAAATCAGAAACAAACCACAGTAGATCAGAAGACAGACCGGAAGAAAGAGAGAGAGAGAGAGAGAAAGAGAGGGAGAGATAGAGGGATTATGAAGTCAATGTGGGAGACTTTATTACATAACCCAGGTTGTATCACACACACATACTTCTCCTCCCTCTCTCCATCGCTCTTTTGTCTCATTGTTTTTCTCCCTCTAGGCGGGTAGTGGTTCACACACAGATAAACACACCCTGCAGCTCACAGACACACACACACACAGTATCTCCGCCTCTGCAGCATCAGTGTACGCCCACTCTAGTTTCCACGGCGACAGCAGGCACAGATGAAATGAGAATGCTCCTGGTTTTTACGACCCATCTCTCCCTCTATCCCTCCATATCCTCCCTCTCTCCAATGTTTCTACTACTTTTCTGTGTACCTATACCAGGTGAACTCTTCCAGTCTCCATGGCAACAGTAGCCAAGAGGGGTAGGCGGTTGCTAGGCACTGACGTGTCTTCCTGACGACAGGCACCCAAACGGCACCACAGACTGCCGTAGAAGGCGGCCAACGCCCATGCTTACGAGAACTCTGACTGTACTTGGAGGGTGTGTGTGTGTGCCACTACCTCTCTAACACAAACACAAACACAAACACACACACACACACACACACACACACACACACACACACCCCAGTCACAGAAAATAACAGAGGGCATTAGGAGAAGTAATGAGGTAAATCAAGACAGAGTTGAAGAAGAATAGTCGAAGTCAGACATAATACGTACTGAGAGAGGAGTAAGACAGAAGCAAAGACATGCACTAAGTAAGAGTGAGGAGAAGTGCAATTAAGTGTAATTATGAGTATGTGTGTACTCACCGCTCTTCCCCACTCCCCCCTCTCCCAGCATCACCAGTTTGTACTCGCGGGAGACGCCCCCAGAGCCTCGCAATGACTCCATTTACTCTATGAGGAGAGAGATAAGAGGCTGTGAGTAATCCACATATCCCATTTAAAAACACACACACACACACACACACAGGCACATATACAGACACATCAACACACACATAAATATACATATACATATACATATCCATTCTTGGTCCCAGTTTATTAAGTCCAGGCCCAATGAATAGAACTGTGAAAGAGAGTGTACAGAGTTTAAAGTGACTAACACACAAACAGACAAACATGATACCACACATGCCAATGTGCAATCTTGCTGTCAAGTGCTAAAGCTAATGACAAGAAATGAGAGCGAGGAGATGGAAAGAGAGAGCGAGATATACAACACACACACATTGACAAACTTTAACATCAATATCCATTCCACTGTTGAAAGTCGAGTTAGTCAACCACTGTACCATACAGTAGATCTATTGAATAGCGATGTGACAGAGGTGAAAGAGAGCATTTTCAGGGACAGAAGGAGAGCTATACAGCCAACAGTCTAGTCTACTTTGCCACCCTTGAAATAAAAACTATTCAACTCATCTGAATAGGCCACTATTGTCATCCCCTCAGACCCATTTGGAGTGTGTGTAGATTGACTTATGAGAGTCAGATGGCTCTTCAGTTTATTAAATTGGTGTATGCAGCAGCTACTAGCACTCATGCGGAAAGAGGAACCAACTCCTATTGACTTGAAGGGCAATCATGTGATTTCTCAGTGCAAGGCAAATGTGTAACATTGACCACCACAACCCCAGGCAATGTCATCACAACTGTTATTGCTATTTGCCACAGCGATATCGCCTTTCCTTTCTCTAACCCAAAATAGCATGATTTAAATAAAAAATGTACAACACCAGACTATATTCAACTTTAATTTCATTGTCAGAATAAATGATAATTAATGGTATATTTATCCTTGATAAATAGGCCTACATAAGCACACATTTACTTATCATTAGGGACTAGGCTACTAATTGTAGGCATTATGAAGGGATCACATACTCTCACTGATGGAATGCAGAGACAAGACATTTGACAAAGCCGCTTCATTGTTGTCAGGACAGAGGCAGATAGAACAGACATAACTTGGGAGGTTAAAAATAGACGTTCATATCCGCTTGAGAGTAGCTACGTTGTTTTACTCGGTTTTATGTCAAATATGAGGTCTGAACTTCAATAACGCCTGACTGAGCCCATGTTCGTGCACCATTGCCTAAAATTGCTTCAAAACAGATCTCTGGTAGATCCAAAAACACAAAGGAGTGGATGGTATTGTAGTATATTGCCGAGTTGTTGTTCCCTCCCTCGCCCTGACAACATCACTACACAGGCTCCGTGATTAAAGGGAGTCTCCAGGCTTCAGAATGCTCAGGCCTCGAAGTTTTATTGAAATGCAGATTAAATATATCGACTCTGTGGTAGCCTTATTCAACGTCCAAAGTTAGGGAATCTCATTATTATTTTTAGAGGCTAACTAAACCAAGCGCAACAAAAGTACAATTGTATTGCACTATTGTCGCGTTGTTATAGCCTAATGTTACAAACAGTGAGTCGGCTACAACGTTTCAGCGGACGAAAATATAAAAATATTTTCTAAATCATAGAATCTCTGACAAAATCGCAGTGAAACATCCGTTGCAAACATTCACTGACATTGAACAACCATTTGATATACTTTATTGGCTAGGTGACATAGGATTAGGAAAAACAAAGTAGTCTAACTTTTCTAAACTTCAAATGTAAGATTGTTCTTCAATCAAGTGTAGCTTACGAGTCGATCATTGATTAACGTAAAACAAGCTGCATGAATTTGTTAGCCTAACTGTTTGCAGATCAGTGTTCAATCGGACATTGCATACATTGTTTCATGTAATTACAAAGGAACGAGTTCAGGGAGAAAGATGTATATTGCTGACTACGACGAAAGCAAATGATTGAACATTTGCAAACATAAATAGAAATGGACGACTCACCTGTGTCACAGAACTTCTTTCCTCATAATTTCCGAAATTACTTTTATAGTAATTTAGTGCTTGATGTTTGATAATTCATGCCACAAAATCCTCACTAACTGTAAACAACGCGAGCGGTCTGTAAACGCTACGTCACAGGGTCCGACCTCCCGTCGGCTCAGTGGCTGTGACTTTTCAGTAGAGTTGGAAGTGACCTTGAAAAGTGACTTTGAAGTTCAATTAGGCACTGTTACAAATTGGTAACATATACAAAAGGCTGTGAAGTATTTGTAGTTAATAATATCAGTAATGTTAGTTCATCATATCAGAGCTGTGCACCCACCGGGGAAGTGGAGCTGTAAGTAAGGCTGTAACGTAACAAAATGTGGAAAAAGTCAAGGGGTCTGAATACTTTCCGAATGCACTGTACGGTGCTGTTCCATGCCTGTGCATCTTCAGCGTTATTAAACCACCTCAACTGGAATCCCACCTGTCTGTCATCTGTGCCCTTACCAGCACACGGGAGCAAGTAAAACCTAACCTAAAGAATATACAGTCCATCAAGTCCTCACTTACATAACCAATTAATAGGCCTACTAAGACGCAATGTATTATATTTTAAGTTTATCGTAATATAATAAAATATAATAAATATACTACTTTATTGTTGTTGAGAGGCACATTGTCAGTCATGGTTCAGCATCCCTGGATGGGGGCAATTTGGAGTTAACTGTCTTGCTCTAGGGTACAACGGTAGTGGTTAGGACCTGGGATCAGATACCAGCAGCCCTCCAGGTGCCAGTTCAGTTCCCATGTTTGTAATGTCCCGGCCTGGGTCTTGAACCAGAAACTTTCTCTCTAACGTCTAGGCTACCTGCCATGCATAGGTGGTGTTGTATACTAGGCATGTACAGGTAACTGCCAAAATAATGGAAACACTTGAGTAAATGAGGGATACAAAGTATATTGAAAGTAGGTGCTTCCTGGTTTCCTGAGTTAATAGAGTTCCAGAATCTATGCCAAGTTGCATTGAAGCAGTTCTGGGTCGTGGTGGCCCAACGGCCTATTAAAATACTTTATGTTGGCAGTTACCTGTATGTCCCTATTTGCTGTGTGCTCCCTGTGCATGGTTTGATCTTAATTAGCTAGACCAGACAATTATAGGCTACTGGATATTCTCATGCTGTAACTGCACAGAAGACCAAATCTTGTCATGTGAGTTTGTGTTTGTGAGAAAAAAGAGGGATACATTCATATTTTGGTCATTTAGCAGCCGCTCTTATCCAGAGAGAAATCAGTGAGCTAGTCGTGTGTCTGCCCAGGTGTGACTTAGCAAAAGGACAAGCAAAAAGACTCAAAAATAGTGTATCAGTTTTTTTTTATTTGCACGTTCATTGTGTTAACAAATTCAACAAGTCAGAATTAGTGTAATATATCTAGCATAGACTTAATAGCATTATGCAGAGTACTTGTCTTATTTGCATTTCCCCCACACAAAACATACAGTTCTGACCTTCAATTATGACTGAGGCAGTGAATCAATGATAGCCAATGGGATACTCACAACCAATCGATTTCTTTGTGACATCTGCTGATGTAAAAAGGGCTTTATAAATACATTTGATTGATTGATTGTTCTCTTTTTATTCACACCAGATTTGTCTGTACAACACACAACAGAGTTGGATGGGTTGTCATGAGAGGAAAAGGAGTGTGGACTAGAGAGTGGAATTCAGTTAGGGCGAAGGGATAGGAAAAGGCACCCCAACAATTGAACACATTTACAGCGAGGGGAGAGCCCTTTCCCATTTTTGGGGGAACAATCACATACAATAAGGACAGGCGGCAGTGCATCTGCCTGATAGTGCTTGGGAACAAACCGTAATTTACACAAGATTATACTGTATTTCAATTTTGATATCTATAAAAATAGGCTTTATTTATGCTATGGGTTTAGGGGAGGCCAGCAGAACAGAGGGTAACAAAGACAGAGCATTTAATTATTCAGTGACATGGGACATCGTTGCCTATCTTTGCAGAGTGCTTTCTGTGCTATTTACAAAGGGAAATGCTCATAGGAAGAAGAAACTGTTGAATATCGATCACAGGCACCTGTAATATACACAACCCCAGTGTCTCAAAGTAAAGTCAGAAAGAAACAGTGAGAACATAGAAATAGGAAACTAGAAAATCTGTCAAAGATACAGAAATGGGAGAATGTACATGGTTTGTTTTCTAAAATTTGTTAGTTAGCAATTATGATAAATTTTGATTTGATCTTGACTTAACCTTCCTGTCATGAACAGAACTCACAATGTTGTTAGCCAAAGACATCTCACCTCTCTCAGTAATTATCCGTCATGCACAGACACGTGAGACAAAAAAACACTGGTGTCCTGGTGCCACCTTCCGGAGACATTTGAAACCCCACCTCTTTAAGGAATACCTGGGATAGGATAAAGTATTCCTTCTAACCCCCCCCCCCCCCCCCCCCAAATTGTAAAGTGGTTATCCCACTGGCTATAGGGTGAACGCACCAATTTGTGAGTCGCTCTGGCTAAGAGCGTCTGCTAAATGACGTTAATGTGCCCTTGAGCAAGGCACTTAACCCTAATTGCTCCTGTAAGTCGCTCTGGTTAAGAGCGTCTGCTAAATGACTAAAATGTAAATGTAATGTAAAAATGTCCTTATCAACAGACACATTGACAGCCATCCTTTTCCACAGAACAATGCTAAGAGACTGTCATCATTCTTTTTTCACCCTTCAAAAATGCTCCACTTTCAAAATATTTAACGCAACCCCTATTAGCGCGGCTACAGTTAGGAGCCTGAACACTACACATTTTTCTCCTTTCTAGCTGTATTGTTTAACTCTCCAGCAATGACAGAGCAATGAATAAACATGACATCATACTATTCCTCAGCAACCATGTTAGAACCTCCTGAGCAAAGTTGGCCAAACGGTGGACTACAACCCATTGGCCTTTCAGTGGTGAGACTCTGACGTGCTTATGCCTGTGCTCACACTACAAATTGGGGTATTGCAGCCTACCTTCAGGACCCCATATGGTAAATACAAACACACACACACACACACACACACACACACACACACACACACACACACACACACACACACACACACACACACACACACACACACACACACACACACACACACACACACACACACACACACACACACACACACACACACACACACACACACACACACACACACACACACACACACACACACACACACACACACACATCCAGGCTACTGCCCAGCACATCTGTGGCCAAGCCAATACTAGGTGGTGTTACGGTGTTAAGGCTAGTGCAATTTTACCTCACTCCAAGGGCTCTCATATCCATATAATTAAATCATGCCCCAGACTGGAAGCCTCCTACAGAGACAAAGACAAAAGGATAGTCAGAGGACCTTCCTCTGAATTTGAAAGACTACAGTTGGAAAAATGTCTCTATACTATCAAAACCTGTGCGGCTGTTGTGATTTTTTTTAATGTGCAAATTTTTCAAACACTATGAAACCGAAAGTCTGAAATCGGTTCCCAGACACAGTGCTTCTTAATGACAATTACATTTTGTTTCAACAAGTTGCCTTGATGTATAGTTTCGATGGAAACTGAAGATACTGTGCATGTATCAAACAAATTTCTCATATCTCATGGCTGTGAGAGGGAAAACTATAGGACAAAGGTCTTGAATTGCGCAGGATGTCAAGAACTGAATAGGGAAAGTCTACCTTTTTACTGAAAGAAATGGGTGTGGGGGGGCTAACTGTGGGGGGGGGGAACTATGACGGAAATTCATAAATGGCAATTTGATAGCAAAAACAACAAGATATTAGCCTCTTATGTTACAATAACTACAAATAGATTTTTTTGTTTTCAAAAGTAGCAAAAGAGCAAAAAATCTACCAGTGATCAAAACAAAAAGGTTGCTTTGGGATTTTCAAAGTGCGATCAGATATACAAAATGTTCAGTGTGCAGCCTAGATGTGCATACTGCCTACTCTCAGTTCCTTGTGGAATGTGATTACTTTCATAGGAAAGGACACAACTGCCCGCTTAAACACATAGTGCCAAAACTGCTATCGATGGTATCTACATAAAACTGTGATATGCCAAGCATTAGCCAAAGAAGCTTGCTGAGTGACTAAACCACGCAAATAACATTTTATAACAAAAACGTATGTTAATATATTTGCTAGCTCAAGTTAGCGCAAACTCAAGCTAGCATTGCAGCTACTTTATTTCAATCGAACGCTGCTGGCACCCGCCCACCCGACTAGAATCACTACTCTCGACGGGTCTGACCTAGAGTATGTGGACAACTACAAATACCTAGGTGTCTGGTTAGACTGTAAACTCTCCTTCCAGACTCACATTAAGAATCTCCAATCCAAAGTTAAATCTAGAATCGGCTTCCTATTTCGCAACAAAGCCTCCTTCACTCATGCTGCCAAACATGCCCTCGTAAAACGGACTATCCTACTGATCCTTGACTTCGGCGATGTCATTTACAAAATAGCCTCCAGCACTCTACTCAGCAAATTGGATGTAGTCTATCACAGTGCCATCCGTTTTGTCACCAAAGCCCCATATACTACCCACCACTGTGACCTGTACGCTCTTGTTGGCTGGCCCTCACTACATATTAGTCGCCAAACCCACTGGCTCCAGGTCATCTATAAATCACTGCTAGCCAAATCCTCGCCTTATTTTAGCTCATTGGTCACTATAGCAACACCCACCCGTAGTATGCGCTCCAGCAGGTATATCTCACTGGTCATCCCCAAAGCCAACACCTCCTTTGGCCGCCATTCCTTCCAGTTCTCTGCTGCCAATGACTGGAATGAATTGCAAAAATCTCTGAAGCTGGAGACTCTTATCTCCCTCACTAACTTTAAGCATCAGTTATCAGAGCACCTTACCGATCACTGCACCTGTACACAGACATTTACATTACATTTTAGTCATTTAGCAGACGCTCTTATCCAGAGCGACAGCCCATCTGAAATTAGCCCACCCAACTACCTCATCCCCATATTGTTATTTATTTTGCTCATTTGCACCCCAGTATCTCTATTTGCACATCATCTCTTGCACATCTATTATTCCTGTGTTAATACTAATTGTAATTATTTTGCACTATAGCCTATTTATTGCCTTACCTCCATAACTTGCTACATTTGCACACACTGTATATATATTTTCTGTTGTATTTTTGACTTTATGTTTTGTTTTACCCCATATGTAATTCTGTGTTGTTGTTTTTATCGCACTGCTTTGCTTTATCTTGGCCAGGTCGCAGTTGTAAATGAGAACTTGTTCTCAACTGGCTTACCTGGTTAAATAAAAATACAAAAAATACAACAACAAAATAAGGACGCAGTTTGAGCACCTCAGAGGCCAGTGTAGCTGATTGTGTACAATGCTTACCTGTGTGTGAGTGTAGGGATATGCAACATTCAAGCTAAGTGGTTAGCAGTGTACACATACAATGAGATACAGTGTGTATACACACAGCAAAGAGACATAGTGTGCAGTGACAGCTTGACTTCCTTTGATCGCTATTGACTATCAGAGTAAAAAAAAAAACCTCTGACAGAATGGGGACCGTGCTGTGGAGCAACAGCGGTGATACACAGAGAGCGAGAGCTCAGGGAGAAGGCATGGCACCAGAACGAGAGCTGACACTTTGAAACCTTTGTTGAGTTCAGTGGATGTGACATTGCAGAAAATGAACATTTGCATTCTTACACATACTTACCCCACACAAAATATATTAAAAAATTAATGTACAATTCTTAAGATGGTGAGTTCAAACAAGGATCTACTGAGCTGTTACCAGTAGCATGACTATACATTTGACTAATTCTAAAGAATTATTTATTCTAATAAATTAACAGGAGTAAAAGCACTACCATGCAAGTGTATATAGGGTCAAATGGCCACTGTGGAACAGCATATGAACTACAAAGCTCTCTCTGGTAAAATTGGTGATAGACAGACACAAAGTTACAGATAATCTCATGGCCTTCTGCTCATGTGGTCACCATGACAACAGATGTACTATAACAGAGGCTTTCGGTACACTGCGATCCGGTCAATTATAGCTATCCATACTACAGGCTACAGCCTCGCCTCAACCAATCACATCAGGTCAAAAAAGAAATGCACCAATCAAATGATAGGGAGAGCAACAGCAGTCACAAAGTAAAACCAGAAATCATCAATTTACTGTAATCCACTAATGTTGTGTGCTACTGAGGGAGGGTTCAGTGAAGGAATATAACTGAGATTTGTAGCTTCATCCCCTCAATTTAGATTGAACTGTTTTGATTAGCTCCACAATGCAATGGACTTATTATAGACATATTGTAATATACTGAACACAGGTTTTCCAACATGTACGTAAACTGCAAGTGAATAATGTCCGATTGTTATGCCAGTGTTGGTATGAATCTGCCCCACAAAAGGGCCATTTTGTCTCTGTCTCGGTAAAATAGGATAAGAGAGGTGCTTGTAGTTTGCAGTTTGCAGTTTGACTATTGAGTTTCATGGGTATTGTTGCTACATGTGAGCTTACTGATGAAACATATATGGTCCACAAAGAAATTAAGAAACATAAACGTGGTGATAAATATAATCAAGACATCCCTATAGCCTTACCTGCCCATAACTTAAACACTTAGCGATAACTGTATTATCCCCTGTAAATATTGTAATATAGTACCACATCCTGCCCCATAAATAGACCACACCTCTAATATTAACACTCCTATAAAAAAAAGAACGTACCTACTTTAAAAAACAGCCCCATCAATATAAATTAACCACACTCTCTAATTAACATAAACCCTCCCAATTTTGTGCAATACCAGGGGATACTTCCTGGTTTAAAGGGAATTGGTATACATACTGTATTCTGTGGCCACATTCCTTCCCAGATGTGTTTTATTTTTAAATTGTTCAAGCATGCAAGTAATATAATGTTTATACCTATGGGTGGCAGAGGCTGGAGAAGGGTGGTTGTGATGCACTCTGTTGTGAACTCTGATTGGATAAACCATCCCCTTTACACACCCACCCAACCGGTAGGACCACATGGATATCGCAAACAGTCTTGAATGTGTAGGCTATATATTTGTGTATACATTCGAATATGTCTTTATATATATATTCAGATTTTTATTTTGAAATCCTCAATCAAGTCTTTTGTCGTTAGTGATTCCTGAAAGTCTGGTCAGATTTGTCTCGTTCCCAGTGGTCGTCTCAATGGTTGCGGTAATTTTTCATAGAAGCGAGTGGTCCAACCGTACAAGTCCATGTTGGGTGGGGTTACGGTGGTCTGGTTGTGTCTCTTTATTTCAGGCGGAAGGGTTCTATTTAATTATTTATTTATCTTTCTAAGAGAATATGATTGAAATAGTAGTGGTGGTGGTGGCGGTTTTTCGACAGAATACCCACTCCGAGAAATTTTGGAACATTTTGGGAGATTTTTCTGAGCTGTCCTAATACTCGCCCAGGGTGTGCCACTTGGCAATCTGCCGGCGGGGGTTGTCGCAAACCTCTCTCCAGTGGGTGACCCCAGTGGGCATGAGGCTCTGGCCACCCAGCACCAGGTGGCCCACCACCTCGTTCTTGGTGGTACGGTCGAAGTCGACCACCAGGAACTCCACAGAGACGTCGGCCAGCAGCTCAGCGGGCACGTCGTAGATGAATGACTCGTTGAAAACAGGGTTGAGTGTGCACTTCTTCACGTGCGTCTTATTCTTGGCGATGCGCTTGCGGCTGTAGAGCACGTTCACCTTCACGTATGGGTCTGTGAGGGATGGATAGAGCGGAAAGGGGGTGAGATGTGTGTGTGTGTGTGAGTGTGTGTGTGTGTGTGTATGTGTGTAGTACTTACTGCCTGATAGGCAAGTGATGTCCATCCTGGGCAGGCGTTTGGCCTTCAGCACCACCACATTGAGCTTGTGAGTGACAGGCTGGTAGGACAGAGACACCAGCAGTTCCCCACGGCTCACACACTGCAGAGAGAACGCAGGGTTAGAATGTAGATCCACACACACTGCAGAGAGAACGCAGGGTTAGAATGTAGATCCACACACACTGCAGAGAGAACGCAGGGTTAGAATGTAGATACACACACACACTGCAGAGAGAACACAGGGTTAGAATGTAGATACACACACACACTGCAGAGAGAACGCAGGGTTAGAATGTAGATACACACACACTGCAGAGAGAACGCAGGGTTAGAATGTAGATACACACACACTGCAGAGAGAACGCAGGGTTAGAATGTAGATACACACACACTGCAGAGAGAACGCAGGGTTAGAATGTAGATACACACACACACTGCAGAGAGAACGCAGGGTTAGAATGTAGATACACACACACTGCAGAGAGAACGCAGGGTTAGAATGTAGATACACACACACACTGCAGAGAGAACGCAGGGTTAGAATGTAGATACACACACACTGTGGGGAGAACGCAGGGTTAGAATGTAGATACACACACACTGTGGGGAGAACACATAGTTAGAACACACACACGTACACACAAAGTACCCATAAAGTACACTCATACACATAAAACCTGCCTTGCACACAAATATGGCAGTCATTATACCTTCATAACCCACCGACCTACACTTCCACTATGCACACAATTCATACACCATAGATCATTTCAGTAAAAGTAATCTACTGTATTGAGACCTGCGGCTATCCCCATCTTTCTGTTCATCTCGCTCTGTTTTACTCTTGGACTCTCTTTTTCACTGCTTTCATGCCTCTCACTCACTTCTCAGAGCGTGAATTCTTATACTACACCTAGGTGTCACCATGGCAATGCACTGTGGGAGGCGGCCCAAAGCTGAGCTTGAACTTAGAAAGGAGAAATAGGGAATTACCCAGGCCAGGACGTGTGTGTTGGCATGCGTGCGTGTGCATGCAAAGTATGACATAAATAGATAGCCTCCTAATTGTCTCTAGTACAGTGCATCTGGAGCTTTTTCATTAGTGAGCAGGACTTAATGCCACATCTCATTTAGAATCACCACTAGGGGAGGGGGAGCTCTGCTCAACGAAAGACAAATAGTCTGAAACCACTGAAGTCTGTACACAACCATTTGTAGTGTACAATAGTTCAGTTCCCTAACACTGTAATCCTTTTGACTATATTCTAAAGTACTGCTGTAGTAAATGGTGCATTTCATACTTAAAAGCACCTTTTGAGTATATAAATTAACATGCCATAGACTCACTGCAGTGCGAAATGCAGAAATGACCCACCATTTTTAGCGTTGCTTAGTTCCCTGACATTTTAATATTTTTAAAATATTTTCTTTAAAGTACAAGTAAATGGTACAGTTCTCATCCTTTCAAGTACCTTTTTAGTATATGAATGAACACACCATAGACTCAGTTTGCGCTTGGTTTATTTCTTTAAGTCTTAAAGACAGAGACATTACAGGAGGCCTATCCCATTTACCACAGTCTCCTATGGCATCATTAGTCAAGATGAGCTGAGAGAAAAGTCATAACAGCGCTAGGAGCTAATGCCGCCATATAAACCTGTCACGTTCGTTTACAGATGGGTCAGACCAAGGCGCAGCGTGATATGCATACATGTTTATTTGGAACGAATAAACAAGCGACAAAACAACAAACGAAACGAAACGTGAAGTCCACGGTACACAAACAACATACCTCACACGGAACAAGATCCCACAACCCACTAGTGCCAATAGGCTGCCTAAGTATGGGCCCCAATCAGAGACAACGAGCGACAGCTGCCTCTGATTGGGAACCACATCGGCCAACATAGATCTAGACATACTAGACTATAAACATAGATCTACACCACATAGAAAATCACACCCTGACTCAACAAATAAGAGTCCGCAGAGTCAGGGCGTGACAGTACCCCCCCCCCCCCCAAAGGTGCGGACTCCGACCGCACAACCTTTACTTAACAGGGTAGGGGCCGGGTGGGCATTCCGCCTCGGAGGCGGATCCGGCTCCGGGCGTGACAACCTCTTACTCTCCGCCTCCCTGTTGCGCCCCTGGTCTGGTCTGGACCTCGGCGCGCTGCTTCCCCTCTCCTTCCTTCCACAAAGTACCAAGCCCTGTCTGGACCCTGGTGTGGGAGACCCCGAACCTGGAGAGGGGCTGACGTCTGGGTCTGGACTGGAACCGCTGACTGGAGCTGGACCCGACGACGGTGGAGCGAACTGCTCTGGCTCCGGAGTGGAGCCGCTGACCGGAGCTGGATCAGGCACCGGTGGAGCGGACTGCTCTGGCTCCGGAGTGGAGCAGCTGACCGGCGCTGGATCAGGCACCGGTGGAGCGGACTGCTCTGGCTCCGGAGTGGAGCAGCTGACCGGAGCTGGATCAGGCACCGGTGGAGCGGACTGCTCTGGCTCCGGAGTGGAGCAGCTGACCGGTGCCGGACCAGGCACCGGTGGAACAGGCACGGGCCGTGCCGGACTGGACACACGCACCACTGGCTTGGTGCGAGGAGCAGGAACAGGCCGGACCGGGCTGGCGACGCGCACCACTGGCTTGGTGCGGGGAGCAGGTACAGGCCGGGCCGGGCTGGCGACGCGCACCACTGGCTTGTTGCGAGGAGCATGGAACGGGCCGGGCCGGGCTGGCGGCGCGCACCACTGGCTTGGTGCGAGGAGCAGGAACGGGCCGGGCCGGGCTGGCGGCGCGCACCACTGGCTTGGTGCGAGGGGCAGGAACGGGCCGGGCCGTACTGGGAACACGCACCACTGGCTTGGTGCGGGGAGCAGGAACAGGCCGGGCCGGGCTGGCGACGCGCACCACTGGCTTGGTGCGGGGAGCAGGTACAGGCCGGGCTGGGCTGGCGACGTGCACCACTGGCTTGGTGCGAGGAGCAGGAACGGGCCGGGCCGGACTGGCGACACGCACCATTGGCTTGGTGCGAGGGGCAGGAACAGGCCGGACTGGCAACACGCACCACTGGCTTGGTGCGAGGAGCAGGAACGGGTCGGGCCGTACTGGGAACACGTACCACTGGCTTATTGCGGGGAGCAGGGACGGGCCGGACCGGACTGGCAACACGCACCACTTGCTTGGTGCGAGGAGCGGGACTGGGTTCCTTTATTAACCCCCGCTCCTTCTGCTGCCTAACCAGCTCCTCTCGCCGTGCCTCTACACTTTCCTTCTCCCTTTTAGCCTCCTGTAGCGCCTCCCTCTGACCGAATAACTCCTGCTCCCTCTGAACCAATAGCCCCCGTAACATGGTGGCCTCCTCTCCTAACCTGCAGATTCGCCCTTCCACTGCCTCGTCATCCACCCCGTGTGCCCCCCCCCAAAAAAAAAATTATTGGGGCTGCCTCTCGGGTCTCCGTCGTCGGCACGGTTGGCGCCGTCTCTCCTCTCCTACCTGGGCATCAACCTTCATCGCCTCCCGATAACGGACGGCCTCCTCCTCAGTAATTCTCCCCCAACCGAGGAGGACATCTACTAAAGTTACCTCCCGTTGAATCCCCGGCGTTTGCTCCTTCTGGGCACGCTGCTTGGTCCTTGTTTGGTGGGATCTTCTGTCACGTTCGTTTACAGACGGGTCAGACCAAGGCGCAGCGTGATATGCATACATGTTTGTTTAAATGACTAAACAACCGACAAAACAACAAACGAAACGAAACGTGAAGTCCACGGTACACAAACAACATACCTCACACGGAACAAGATCCCACAACCCACTAGTGCCAATAGGCTGCCTAAGTATGGGCCCCAATCAGAGACAACGAGCGACAGCTGCCTCTGATTGGGAACCACACCGGCCAACATAGATCTAGACATACTAGACTATAAACATAGATCTACACCACATAGAAAATCACACCCTGACTCAACAAATAAGAGTCCCCAGAGTCAGGGCGTGACAAAACCAATGTGACATTTGGACGGCTTGTGCTGAACGGTAGTTTTGAAGCGTTTCAGCACTGTAGAATGGTAGAGAATCACAATGGCAGTACTCAAAATATACCTTTTTATGTTCTAAACGGGTAATAGCTTTTTTGAACAACCGCTAAGTGTGTGAGCTACCGCTGTCGTAATGAGTGTGACGTCTTTACTGCCCGCCACTTCAATAATTTAAGCTTCCCCCTCCACTTAAGTTCCCCCACGATAAAAGTTTAATGGACGTCTCCTCTGGACTTATGGTCCAGCCACACTCATTTTTATCGCATTGCCATCTCTCTCTCCCTCCGGCCAATAGCGCCCTTCTCGCTCTCATTCGTCCCCTCCTACTGTTTCATCCATCTCGCTCTCTCTCCGGCCAATAGCGCCCTTCTTGCTCTCATTCGTCCCCTCCTACTGTATCATCCATCTCTCTCTCTCGTACTCTTATTCTTTTTTCCCTCTTCATCTGTTCAGTGCCATCGCTCTCTTTCTCCACTTCATCAGCAGATACCTATGTCTTTCTTTTTCATTTACTGAAACTAATCTCTCTCTCCCTCTCCTTGTTCCTGTTCCTTCTCTCTCTCTACTGGAAGATCGATTCCCTCATCTCTAAACCCCTTCAGGCTACAGTAAAATGGGAGGGAATTCAATTTAAGGCCCTCTTCTGAATGAGGGAGTAAAGAGATAAGGAGGAGAGAGAGTGAGAGAAAGCAAGAGAGGAGATGGTGGAAGTATGTACTTATAAATCTCCATAGGAGGGAGAGGGGTGTGAAATAGTGTGACGAAATTGAGAATGTTGGAGTGGGTGTATGTGTATATGGAAGAAGATATTATGCATGTGTGTATACATATCTGTACTGCCTCGCTTGACAGGCTTACAGTGGCACTGGGAATGATACTTATGCATGTAATGTGTTTACACATGTGTCTGCTGTCTTTGAAGAGTGGAAAAGAGACAGTGGTTGTGTGTACTGAATGCGTTCTTATGTTTTAATCTCTCTCTCTGCCTAATGGCTGTGTGTAGTATGCATTCAGTGCTGGTTTCTCTGTATCTTTGTAATCTTTTTCTCAGTGCAGATTGTGTTGGGCGGAGGTCTCTCTCTCCATGTCTCTCCCTCTCTGTGCTATGGGTGGGGCTCTTTCTTGTCAATGGGAGTAGCCTCCCCCCTCTATTTCTCTTTCTCTCTCCATTACCCTCCCTCTCTCTCTCCATCACCCTCTCTTCTCTCTCTCCATCACCCTCCCTCTCTCTCTCCATCACCCTCTCTTCTCTCTCTCCATCACCCTCCCTCTCTCTCTCCATCACCCTCTCTTCTCTCTCTCCATCACCCTCTCTTCTCTCTCTCCATCACCCTCCCTCTCTCTCTCCATCACCCTCTCTTCTCTCTCTCCATCACCCTCTCTTCTCTCTCTCCATTGCCCTCCCTCTCTTCTCTGTCTTTCTGCTCTCCCACACCCCTCCCTCCCCCTCCTCTCTCTGTCATATATGGATAATGTGTAATGATGTGGGGATGAGGCTTTTGTTTCCGTTGCTGACTCTAATGGATGTCTTCCTACAGTCAGAGATAAGACCAGCCTCTCTCAGCTTTTATGGGTCTAATGGGCCTCCAATCAACACACACACACACACACACACACACACACACACATTGCAGCTGCATGTGTGTGTGTGGAACGTTTGTGAGTGCATCCGTGTATGAAAATGATTAAATGAGAGAGAGATTGGTTGTTTATACCATTTCATCATTCATATTGAAATCTGTACATTTATTTTGCAAATGTATCGCCCTTCTGCCAAGACAATTATGATGATTGTTGCTCTCCCTCTCTTCTTTCTCTCTTTCTTCCCCCTCTCTCTCATTATCCCCTCCCCCTCTTCATCTCTAGTGTTGCTGGCCATAAAAGCCCCTTAACTGCTCCACTTCTCCATCCTAACCTCCTCCTCTCTCTCCTTCCTTCCTTCTCTCCCTCCTTACCATTCCAACTCCTCCCTCTATCCTCAAATTCTGTCTACTCATCTCTCTATGAATTGCTCTCTTTTACCACACCCCATTCCCTCCCTCCCGTTCGTCCTCCTTCCCCTTTTCATCTGTCCCTCATTCTAGAGTAGTTTTCATCATCTATCCTCCATCCCTCGATTCCTCACCTTTATTCCTCTCAATAAAAACATTCCTTTCTCACTTTCATCCGGTTTCTCCTCTCTCTCCCTCCTTCTCCTTCTCTCCATTCCTAATTCCCATTCTCTAACCAGGATGTGTCTTTTGTCAGGTCATTGTTGTAAAAGAGAATGTTCTTAATAACCTATTTAAATAAAGGTAATAAATACAAGTAATTCCTTCTCTCCTCCCTCCCTCCCTCCCTTTCCCTTCTTCCATCCCCATCCCTCACCTGGATGTGTCTCTTGCTGATCTGTTGGGTGATGTGGACTCGTCCCGTGCTGGTGTCCACACCGGCCAGAGGCACTGCCACCTCCCCGATGACATCATCACGGGCGAAGCGGTCGAAGCTGAGCACCAGGAAGTGCAGTGTGAGGTCAGGTAGTGCACTGTAGGCCACACCGTAGAACGTAAACGTCTCGTCAAACACTGGCTCCAGGGTCTTCCTCAGAACGCGGGTCTGCAGAGCAATTGGTCATATTTCAGTCTGGTTGCTATTGTGACAGTAGCACTTAAACAGTTACACTCACAGTAACACTTAAACACTTCCAGTAACTCTTTTACAATAAACATTTGAGGGATAATGCAGGGGTCTTCAAACTTTTCTTGCCCAGGGCCCCAATCATGTTTGCACAATTTTTATTTTTATCTTATTCTGTAATCATGATAATTCAAATAATTCAATAATAACAGTATTAGCCTAATTGGGACCGCAATCCCAAATACCTAAACCCTCAACAAAGCAAATCAGAGAAAACAGTGGAAAGGATCAACCCTGTAGGTAGGAAGAAACCTCCAGAGGAACAAGTCTCACCTTGACCCGATGCTTCTTTTCTGGTAGTATGGTCATCTTCATGTAGGGGTCCGAGCTACCCGACTGCTCGTCCATAACGGGAAGACCCTGGGCGCCAACAATGGTCACCACCAGCGCCTTCTTGGGGAAGTTGTAGTCCACGGACAGGCTGAGGGTGCCTAGGGCGGCGGGCGGCGTGGTGGTGCCCTCCCCCTGACACGGGGTAAAGGGTGAGGCTGTCTTGCTGGCATCACAGCTACTGCTACTGCTGTTACCCCCGGAGCTGCTCTCCAGGCAGCAGTAGTCGGCACGGATGGGCAGCGCCCGCTCTAGCCTGGGCTGTCCGGCAGGGGGCAGCAGGTGGCTCATCTGCAGGTGGGTGGAGCCATTGAGCAGGCCCGTTTCTGGGTCAGCATCCACCAGCATCACCCTTCCTCCCCCTCCACCTCTTCCTCGCTCGCCATTACGACCCCACTCAACGCCAGATCCGCCGCCATTTCGCGAGGAGCCCGGGCGTCGACCCACGCGGACGATCTTCTTGTTACTGAGTGTCTCCGGGTAGATGCTGATTCCCTTGAGCATGTGGATGAACTTGTAGGGCGGGTCCACGGCCGGGTCGCAGGGTCCCGACTGGAGCTTGTAGCTCCCCGTCAGCTGTCGGTAGCGACGCTGACAGCAGGTCCAGAGGAAGACGGCCACCGTGACCGAGACCACCAGAACCCCGGCGCCCAGGAAGCCCGCCAGCACCGGGGACACCTCTGAGAGGTGCGAGGAGGAGAGAGCAGGGAAAACGTATTAATTGTATCTTATAATTTCCTTCTGTCGTTATTTTTCCCATTCCTTCAACACTGATGGGTTGAAAGCCTTACTAACAGGAAGATATAGCCTTTTAAAAACTGCCATCAAGAAACAAATAAAGAACACGTGCGGTATGAAACAGAAGGTTGGATTCCATCAAAAAGCATAATTCTTTGCCTAAAGTGAGAACATGAAAGGCTGTCAAAAATATGTGCTAAAAAGCAGGAAAAACTGGTTAACCTTGTTAAATGGATGGACTTGATCAAAGTATTTCATTTTTTCCCTGTTCGTGTTTTTTAGGGCCTTGCCACATACAGTCAGTCAGATGAGGAAGTTGAAGTTGCTGTAATCCTACTGCAACGGCTTATACTATGTTCTATACCATGTTTTACCAGGCGCATTTTGGAAAACACACAACACCACTGACCTACATTTGGACTGAGCATGTGACCTAGTTTAAAAAGTGACTTACAGCTGTGGCACCAGCCTGGATCTAAGCTTTGGGTGGCACTTTATTTGACAGTACACATTTAACTGGTATTTAAAATCAAATCAAATTGTATTTGTCACATGCGCCGAAGACAACAGGTGTAGACCTTACCATGAAATGCTTACTTACAAGCCCTTAACCAACAATGCAGTTAAGAAAAATAAGAGTTAAGAAAATATTTACTAAATAAACTGAAGTAAAAAATAAAAGAGCAACAATAAAATAACAATAACGAGGCTATATACAGGGGGTACCGGTACCGAGTCAATGTGCTGGGATACAGGTTAGTCGAGGGAATTGAGGTAATATGTACATGTAGGTAGGGGTAAAGTGACTATGCATAGATAATAAACAGCGAGTAGCAGCAGTGTAATAGTCCAGGTAGCCATTTGATTAGCTGTTCATGAGTCTTATGGCTTGGGGGTAGAAGCTGTTATGAAACCTTTTGGACCTAGACTTGACGCTCCGGTACCGCTTGCCATGCGGTAGCAGAGAGAACAGTCTATGGCTAGGGTGGCTGGAGTCTTTGGCAACTTTTAGGGCCTTCCTCTGACACCGCCTGGTATAGAGGTCCTAGATGGCAGGAAGCTTGGCCCCAGTGATGTACTGGGCCGTACGCACTACCCTCTGTAGCGCCTTGCGGTCGGAGGCCGAGCAGTTGTCATACCTTGAATAGTGGTGCGAAATAAAGTGCTACCTAGTTTTGAGGTGTGGCTATGGATGTGAGGAGGAAGTGAGGTTAGTTAAGGACACAGAGAGAGGGAGACCTTTTCTGAAAACATACTTTTAAGAGATGGATAGATAAGAGCAACAAACGTGTGATGGAAGACCTGGTATTCTGATTAAGGTAATTATAGTAGATTAACATAAGCAGTGCAATATGTTTGCTAGTTATAAACATAATCAGTGCAATAAAAAGTCGATTTATTAATGAACGGTGCATAGTACTGTGTATTGTGAGTCACTGAAAATGAGTAACAGAAATATAGTTGGATTGATGTTGATATAGACACTGCAACCAGTCAGGGAACGCTTCACTGTGTAGAATATTAAGCACTACAAGGTATTATAATAGGAACAAATCTGAATAAAGTATTCCATTACTGTGGTCATGTTCAGTATAATTTGATATAAAAGTAATTCTGCACTTGGCTTGCTGCTACCACTCATATTACATTGCCTCTGTTGGGGAAATTATATTGTTAGCCTAATAAAAATAAAATAATTGCAAGAAGAAAAAAAGAGTATGTTGATCACTATGATGTACAGTACAGAGTACTCTTTACTGTTTGACTGTCCAATCATGTTCAATATGGGTGCTTGTAGCGATGTAGACTGTAGGTGACAAACATGAAAACACTCATTGTAGTAGAAGTAGGTACTTCATCAACTCAAGACCCTCTGAACCCTGTTGTTTTGACAGCCATTTTGACGTTACGAAACACGACTGTATTGGTCACAACATCTATGGCGGCATTTCTTTCAAAACCTCTTTGAAAGTCATCTATTAAGAATGCTGCAATAATTTGTGTCATTCTGGCTCAGACAAGTCTTACTTACTTACAGTCTCTTTAGTACTGGCTCATTCTCTGAGTAACCTGAGAGAGATAGCCTCTTCACCAACCCTGTAGTCACACACACACACTAGTCAGTATTGTAATGAGTCCAAAGACTAACCTGAGTGACAGCACTACCTTCTTGGTTCTGTGTGGTTCAGTTGGTAGAGCATGGTGCTTGCAATGCCAAGGTTGTGGGTTTGATTCCCACAGGGGACCAGTACGAAAATAAAAAGTCTGAAAATGTTTGCACAACTCACTACTGTAAGTTGCTCTGTGTAAATGTAAAATGTTATAACTCTTATAACTTCAGTAAAGACTGAAATGCCAGAGTAAAAAATAACAAGCCTATAATTGGCTTTGACAGACTTGCTCCATTGGCCTGCAATTAAGCCCGCACATATGGTGCCCTTATGCCCAAGTGCCTGCCTGGAACACGGCCATTGTAAGTGCTATCAGCTATCTGCTGATGGTGTGGTAGGTAGATCAGGGTTTGGTGATGCTGGTCACATTTTCTAAGGGACTGATTGACAGAGGCACAATGCTTATCTTTGAGTAAGTAGTGGGTTTTCTGTCTAGTTGCTAATGTTTGAACTATGTCTGTATTGTTACTTTGGTGTGTATGTTTACTACCATTGAAACTTGGTTTATTTCGCCCTCTCCTTCAATTAAACAATTCTGTTCAAATTAAGCCATTTTCCATCTCCCATAGTATTATTTAGTCTTTCCTCCACACTCGTGTCTGCTTGCTAACACTCATTTTCTCTCACCTTCTCTCCTCCTCCTCTCTCTCCCCGCTCTCGGGCTCTCTCCTCTCTCCTCTCTCCTCCTCTCTCCTCCTCTCCCTCCTCTCTCCCCCTCTCTCCCCCCTTTTCTTCAAACTCTTCCTCCCCTCCCTCCTTCTCCCCTCTCTCTCCCCTCTCTTTCCGGCTCTTTTCCAAAATCTCTCTCTCTCTCTCCCCTCTCCCCTCTCATCTCTCCTCCCCTCCTCTCTCTGTCTCTCTCCCCTCTCCCCTCTCCTCTCTCTCTCTTCGGTCCGTCTTTTCCCTCTTCCCTCTAGCTCCCTCTCCCCCCGGGGGGCCGGGCCTTTTCTCTTTCCCTTCTTTTCTTTCAAAACCCTCTTCCCCTCTTCCTCCTAAAACATCTCTTTTCTCTCCTCAAAACCAAAACCGGGGTTTTCTCTCAAAAATCCTTTTCTCTCCTCCCTAGTGTGGGCTTCTCCTTTCCCCTCCCAATCCTCTTACTCCCTCCTTCTTTCTCCTACCCGCGAAAACTCTCCTTTTTCTCCTCTCTTCTCCCCGGGGGTCTCCCGTCCTCCTCGGGCTCTCGAAAGTTTTTCGGCTTCGGGCGGCTCTCTCTCCTTTCCCCAAATTTCCCTTCCTCCTTGGGTCGAAATCTCCCAACTCCTCCCCTCTTCTCGGGGCTCCTTCCTCAACTCTCCCCCCAAAAAGGGTCCTCTCTCTAAAAAAAAAACGGGGGGGTTTCGGGGCTCTCTCTCGCGGCTTTCTCTTCGGAAAAAAAATCTCTCTCCTTTGTTTCCCTCTCTCCTGGAGCCCTCTCTTTCTTTCTCTCTCCCAAAAGGTTCCGGCTCTCAAACTTTTCTCTCTTCGGTCCTTTTTCGGCAAAAAAATTCTTTTTCCCCTTCGATCACCCCTCTCTCCTCGATCAAAATTCTCTCTCCTCCTTCCCCCTCCCTCTCCCCTGGGTTTTTGGTGATCGTCGTCTCTCTTTAGTCTCCCTCAAAAAAGAAATCCTTTTCACCTCCCTGCTCTCCTTCTCTGGGGCTTGATTCTCCTCTCCCCCTCACTATCCACTCTCCTCCCGGTCAAAACACTCCAAAAATTTCTCGTAACCTCCCCAAAAAAATAAAATCTCTCTTCTCCTTTTTTTCCTGGGGGGGGTCCCTTTCCAACCGGCGGGTCTCCCGGGGTTTTTTGGCGATGAGCTGTTGGGAATCCCAAAAAAATTCCCCGGAAAAAAAGGAGCGGAAAAGAAAGGAAAAATTGTGCCCCCCAAAAAAGGCGCCCTTAAAGAAAATGCCAAAAGGTTGGGGGAAAATTTGGGGGGAAATTCTTGGTGGTTTCAAAGGGCCCGGGAGGGGGAAATTTTTTTTCTCCTGTTTGGGGAAAACCGTTTTCCCTTACCTGAAACCTTTCTGTCTTGGGTTAAGGGGGGAGGGGTGGATATTCAAAGCTCCCCTTGTTCTCCTCAGGGGGGAAAGGGCCCTGGGGTTTGGGGTGTGGGGGGGAAAAACCTCTCTCAAGACCTCCCCCCAATGCCCCCTTTTCCCCGAGGGGCCCTTTTCTCCCCCTCATAACTGATTTGCCCCGGGGGTTTTCCCCCCTTTTCCCCTTAACCCCGGTTTTACCCCTTTTTCCCGGCTTAGAAAATCATAAATTGTACCTTTGTTTTGGGTTGGGGGTTGCCAACTGCTTCGTTTTGAAGGGGGAACAACATAAGAGGCCCCCGATCTTTGGGAAAGGGTTTCTCCTTTACATAATTTCCCCTTTTACCCTTTACCAAAATCCCTTGGAAACGGGCTCCTTTGGTGTGCATCCCCTGGCCCCCCCCAACCCTGGCTTTTGCCCCATTCTCACCCAATCACCTTCTTTTTCCTATTGTTCTAAGTAAAAAACTCCTCGGGGTTTGGGATCTCCTTCCAGTTCCTTCCCGGTCGTCTCCTTAAAAACCCCCCCCCTTAAAAAAACCAACATAACCATTCCCCAAAAAACCCCGGGGCAAAAATTTAAAAAAACTAATTTTAAAAAAAACCCTTTTTTCTTGCCGGGGGTATTGGGGGGGAAGTCCTTTTTGGAAGAGGGCCCCGGTTTTTTGTCAACCCGGGGGAAAAGGAAACAACTTTTTGTTCAAGGGGGCCCGGGGGGCCGATTTTTTCTTGGGGGGCGGGGTTT